TTTAAAAGAACTTCAGAATGATGATGAAATTGTCATAAAACCAGCGGATAAGGGTGGAGGCTTAGTGATTTTATCCAAATCCAAGTATTTGAAAGAAGTATATCGTCAATTAAATGACTCTGAGGTATATGAAAAATTATTAAGCGACCCTACCTCTAAAATTAAAATACTTTTAAAAGATTACTTAACAGAAGGTTTTAATAAGAATATTTTAAACAAACAGGAATTTAATTATCTAACTATCATGCATCCAAAAATTCCAGTCATCTATTTCCTACCAAAAATTCATAAAAATGCAGAAGAACTTCCTGGTAGACCTATTGTGTCAGGTATAAACTCTATTTTATCTAATCTTTCTGAGTATATTGATATTTTATTACAGCCTTTGGTTAAAAATATGAAATCATATCTTAAGGATTCGATGACTCTTTTAGCATTTTTAAAGGATTTTGTTTGGCGGCAGGACTATATCTTAGTCACCTGTGACGTACAATCACTGTACACTATAATCCCCCACAATATGGGATGCGAGGCAGTAGAAAAAATTTTAAGACAACAAAGCTCTATTCCAGATTGCCAAATAAATTTTATAATAGAAGGCATTAAAATAATTTTAAATAATAACTATTTTTGGTTTTCGGAATCTTTTTATATCCAAAAAAAAGGTACTGCTATGGGAACCAGGTTTGCCTCCAGCTATGCCAATCTCTTTATGGCTGAGTGGGAGTCCTCGACCATCTGGGGAGACCATGCCTGGCGGGCAAACCTGGTTTCCTATTTTCGCTATATAGATGATCTATTTTTTATTTGGCAAGGTTCCGAAACCTCTCTTAAGTCTTTTTTAGAATTTTTAAATTTTAATGACAGAGGCATTGTTTTATCTTCTGAATTTAGTAATGTCTCTATCAACTTTTTAGACCTCAATATTTTTATCCAAGATGGGAATATCCAAACCAAGACTTTTTAAAAAAAAGTTTGTACAAATACCATAATAGATCATACTAGCTGTCACCATAAACCTTGGTTAGATGGCATCCCAAAAAGCCAATTTTTACGTCTTCATCGTAACTGTACTTTAAAAAATAGATTTTGAGACTCAATCTACCTCACTGAACAATAAGTTTTTAGAAATAAATTATAAACCTGATAAACTAGAGGCAGCATTAGAGGAAGTTAAGTCCAAGGAGAGAAAGGACCTTCTAGTATATAAAAATAAAAGGGATGACCCTCCCAAATTACCTATCATCTTGGATTATAATAGTAAGAGTAAAAATCTAAAAAAAATTATTAATAAGCATTGGCATATTTTAAAACAAGATGATCTTTTAAAAGAGTACATTCCAGACAGGCCGAACATAATTTTTAGGGGGGCCCCAAATTTTAAGACTATCTTAACAAAGAACTACACTAAAACCACTATTTTAAAAAAAGAAAATGTTATGTCTAAACCAAAAGGTTTTTTCAAGTGTAATAATTGTGTTGTATGTAAATCCACAAATCCAGCTACCAACACTAAAACTACAAACTTTTTTCCACTACTACTAAGGTATCATATCCTATCAAAGATTTTATTGGCTGTAACACTAAAAACGTTATATATCTATTAGAATGCCCTTGCGGACTTCAGTATATAGGCATGACGACAAGATGTTTAAAAACTCGCCTAGCTGAACATTGTCGCAATATCAAAAAAGGCTATGAAAACCATTCAGTTTCTAAACACTTTTTAATGCATAACAAAGACCCAAAAGTTTTAAAAGCAATTGGAATAGAACAAGTCACTATGCCTTGGAGAGGAGGGGATATGAAAAAAATATTAGGAAAAAGAGAGATGAATTGGGTTTTTCAATTAAAAACTCTCTGTCCTAGTGGACTAAATGCAGATTTTGATCTTTTTAATTTTTTATAAAAATTTTTTATATCAATATCTTTTTTATAATTATACTGCATTTTCCTAATTATAGGATAGTTTTTTTTTTTTCTTCTCTCCTCTAGCTATTTCTATACGTCCATTCTTTAGCAGGTTTTATTTTTTAACTAGTTTTCCCTTTTTTTACTATACATTTCTACATATTTTAGTTATTTATCTCTTATACCATATTATCCTATCATCTTTGTTTACTTTCCATTTTTACATATTCTAATTATTTATCCTTTTTACATTATTATATAATCATCTCTGTTTACTCTATATCCTAATTATTTGGTTCATGCCCCCTACTCTCATATTAGATTTTTCACCATTTTGCTATATCCCACGTGACCGCGGCTGCTCGTGATCACGTGTTCCCCCTTCTCTATTTGCTTATAGTGTTGCTAGCCTTTAGTTTCTTGCCGAACCACGTGACCGCGGCAGCCCGCGATCACGTGCCTTTGCCAGTATTCCCTGCCCCCTCTGCTGGTGCCGATCTAGATGACCGCCCAGCATACAGTTCCCACAAGCCTTTTCAGCTGTACCACGTGACCGCGCGATGGCGCGATCACGTGATTTTATATGTTTCTAATGTATCCTATTTGTTTATCTTAACTAATGCTCGTTTTAAAGTCTCCATTACAATATTAAATTACAATAATTTGTATGTTATTTTAAAGATATTCTTTTCAACTTTTAAAAATCTTTTTCTTTTTTCTTGCACTCCCATGTTCTAATAATGACGTCATTTTGGCGCCAAACTTTGAATTTGCATATGTTTAGACAGTTTATATAAGCATTCATGTACCAGTATGTTTCTTCCTTTATTGCCAATTGAAAAAGCCCTGTGAGGCGAAACGCGTTTTGGCTATATTTATATTTTATTGATTCTGTTATTATAAATAAAGTTATATTGATACTTTTATATATTCTTTTATTACATAATACTATTTTTTATTTTTTGAAACCTGGTACCTGTTATATTGGAACAACATATGCTCAAGAATCCTAGGTGGGGATAATACCACCTACGCTATCAAAGTGAGCAGTATATCCTGCTCATACGCATGTGAGTATTCTACTGCTCTTATTATTTTATCCTTTTCACTCATTCAGTGAGCACTATATTGTTTTTTCATCTCTCCACATACCGAGGAGTTTTCTTATATCTTCGCCACCTATATCCTACCAGTGGAGGATCAACGCCACTGAATGCTATTACCACCTGAGCAATTTTATGCTCAGAAATAGGTGAGTGGATTACCTGCTATAATATTTGCCTTCTACTCACTTGTTGTATTACCATCTGCACTATTGGAGTCTCTGTTTTCTTTACATGTCCATATATCCACCATCAAATTGAGATACCGCTAATACAAGAAGATTCGGCTAATCTTTGGACTCTTGGACTTTTTTCAGACCTCAGTATTATCACAGGTTTTATTAAAGACTTTCACATTATTGGGATAATTTTTCCCTGTTTTATTTATATTTTTGTCTCATCCAATTTTATATTTACTTTTATTTCCACTACCATATAGCGCGACCTATATATTTTCTTTTGTTTGCCCTTTTATGTGAGGAGTTGAGAGGGAACCTCATTTTTATAGGTTGCTGCTTCCTTATCTGTTCTTCATTTTTTAGCGCTGTCCCATTATCCTGTTTTTTAACTGTCAATCCATATCTGCCAAGATATGTAGGGGGACCAGTCCCTATTCTGCTCTGTGTCCGTGTGCATCAGGGGCTCTGAGGACAGGTGTCAATCCATATGTCAAGGTGTCAATATGTCATATGTCAGGTGTCAATCCATATTCATTGTGATTTAGGAATGTTAGGTGATTTCTGCCCTTTATGGATTAAAACCAGACTCTGTATCAACGGTGTAATTTTCCATGGGAGTTTTGCCATGGATCCCCCTCTGGCATGCCACAGTCCAGGTGTTAGTCCCCTTGAAACAACTTTTCCATCCCTATTGTGGCCAGAAAGAGTCCCTGTGTGTTTTAAAATTCGCATGCCCATTGAAGTCAATGGCGGTTCGCGAACATTTGCAGAAGTTCGCGTTCGACGTTCACGAACCGAAAATTTCGGGTTCGCGACATCACTACATAAGAGCAGACATTAGGCTGTTAGTGTAGGACCTGCCAAAGATGGGGTACATTGACGTTGTGGCAGGCTTATGCAATGTATGATCATATAATGTAACTAAACCCCCATCATTTTTGCCTGGATTAGGTGTTTTTAAAAAAACAAATAAAATCTTTCAACATTGAAGTTGCTTTTTAGTGGATAGGTGAGTGTGCTGGATCTTGTGTTGTGTGTGTGTGTGTGTGTGTGTGTGTGTGTGTGTGTGTGTGTGTGTGTGTGTGTATATATATATATACACATATACATACATACATACATACATACACACACATATATACATATATATATATTACAATAGAAGGGTGGATTTGGTACTACAGGAAGTATCACTAATTCGATGGATATTCAAACATTCAAGAATGATTTGGGAACTGTAAGGTTAATAGGGCAAAAGGATTGAATATTCAAAGAGGTTTAAATCAAATAGAGAAATTTGGTATGAATATAGCCTTTGTTATTGCACCCTCTGTTCAACATTTGCAGGAATGAGAAATTAAGATTCATTACAGGCAGCCAGAGCTTGTTTGGAGATAAAATCTGTAGGATATTCAATTCGTAAGGTGATGGCACAAACATTACAAGGTGGTGTTACTCCTATAGAACTCAAAACTTAGTTTACCTGAGGAGTTTGCGTTCGCTAAAAATCATACAGATTTATGGGTTAACAAATGGTTGGGATGTAACAATGATATATGTACAAGTTCTTCTTGAATAAAAATTTCTGGTATTGAAAAAAAAAACAAACACTATTAGTAACAATTTTTTAAACTTACTGATGTGGAATCAATCAATTAATTGATTATCTTGCGTATCTGCCCCCGGCCAAATTAAAGAAGTAGTGTGTGCACGCTCGTAAAGAAATTCACACCAGACAAAGGTTTCGGGTTAATGAAAAACTTGAGGAATGTTTATTCTGAGGGGATGGCATGCCCCTTATAAAATTACATCATATGCTTTGTCAGAGATAACATGAAATAATACATCAATAATTGGTTAGGTGTTAAGTGGTTCATTTAGTGCTCTTCTACCGGGTGTGATGTCACTGGTATCTTGGAGGTCTCCCCCAGATTCCAGCGCCATTTTGTTAATGAGGGTGTTAGTCGATGTCGAAGGAGAAACTCCCTAGCGGCCATTTTAGGTAATTCACATATAAAGTTGAATAATGCTGATTGTAGGTATGCTGAGTAAATAGGCATTTTACTAACATAAATTGAGTTAATATTTTTGTCCACAACAGTCCCCAATTAAAATGACTATTTACTAAAGAGACAACTACTAACTGACCCTAATAATGTCCCTACTTGGCTGCAGCTCATCTGTCTGAACAGGCCTCGAACGCTTCACTGAGTCGGTATCCTGTAGTGGCTGCCCACTACATCTCCCGCGTCAGACTTCTACCCATGGAGACAGACACTGTCCCTATGCTGTCCCTATAAGGAAGTAGTTGTCTTTTTGAGGTGGTGGGACTGAAGAGGTGTGTGTGGTGTGTCACAGTCTATATCGTCAATATCCTAATGTAGGAATGTAGGTGTGGTGAATGGTCTGACTTACAGTTTTCTGTAAGTATTTCTGCACACAGGGTATCACACAGCAAGTCAGGAAGAGAAAGAATAACCACAGTAAGAACCGCCATACCTACTTGAAGGAGAGTTTTCTGCCATCCACTCAAACCATCTGTCCCATGAATTGGGGAATCCTGAGTTCTTTGTTAATTCAGAGAGACTTTCTAATTCCTCTATGGCCATAGTTACCTTACCATTGGTGCCTGTATTGTCTGGAATGAAGGTACAGCAGGTCATAGTATCGGGAAGTATTTTACACATGCCACCCCTTCTCTGCTAGTATCATGTCTAAGGCCATTCAATTCTTCTTACAGTGCGAGGCGTGTATCCAGGTACTCCTCCCGGCCAACTTTACAGAGGTATACGTAGTCAGTAGCACTTGGAATGGACCATCAAACCTTGGCTCAAGGGTATGTTTGCTGAGAAACTTCTTGACCATGACCCAGTCACAAGGAAGTAGCTTATGTGTGCCTGTATTTGACTCTGGATCTGGAATAGAAGAAAACACTTGTGCATGGATTTTGGTCAAAGCATGAGAGAGTACAGTTATATAATCTACCATTGCATCTGACTGAATTTGGAGTTAAGGAAAGTAACAGCCTAACCTGGGTGCTTTACCAAATAAGATCTTGTAGGGGGATAAGCTAAATCTCCCTCTTGGAGTGTACCTTGCACTAAATAGTGCTATGGGAAGACTTTCCGGTCAGGGTAGGTTAGTTTCTTGGGCCAACTTAAGCATTCTGGCTTTCAGAGTGCCATTCATGCGTTCTACCTTACCACTACTCTGTGGGTGATAGGGTGTGTGGAATGCAAGGGTCACCCCCAGTGCTGCCCAGATTTCTTTGGTTAGTAAGGCGGTGAAGGATGTTCCCTGGTCACTTTCGATCACCTCAGGAACTCCGTATCTGCAGCTGATTTCAGTAAGTATGTGCTTTGCCGTGGTCTTGGCAGTGAGATTGGCGACTGGAAAGGCTTCTGGTCATCCTGAAAACATATCCACTATGACCAGTGCATATTCATACCGGCCACTCTTTGGCATTTGGATATGATCAATTTGGATCCTTTGGGAAGGGTACTGTGGCTTGGCCAAATGGTTTGGCGCGGCTTTAATTATTTTCCCAGGGTTACATCAGGAGCAGATAGTACAGGATCTGCAGTAATTTCATGTCAAGGTGGTGATTCCGGGAGCTTCAAAATATTTATCAAAGAGTTCATGAGATGTTTAGATAAATGAGCTGGCCAATGGGCCCACTGGACGACAGCTGGGTACATATTTTTTGGGTAGACAGAATTTGAGGTTTAATGTGTATACTTCATTCTGGAGGGTTGCCCCTTTCTCGTTCCAGCTTTATTTTTCTTGAGGGGTGGCTGCGGCCTGTTCTCTTAGGAGTTTGAGATCGGTGGGTAAGGTCCGCATAGTGTAAATAGGAGTCTTTTCAATGGGCACTCTTCTGTCCACTTCCCAACACTTTTGCGCCGCATCCTTAGCGGCCTGGTCAGCTAAGTGGTTGCCATGTGCTTCTTCTGAATTTAGTCTCCCGTGGGCCTTTACCTTCAGTATGGCCACCTCTTCTTAAGGAAGCAGTAAAGAGTCCATCAATTCTTTGATAGCTGCACCATGTTTCACAGGGGTACCTGTTGCTGTAAGGAACTCCCTGGTTTTTCAGATTAAGCCAAAATCATGTGCCACACCCAGAGCATTCCTTGAGTCTGGGTAAATATTAACACGCTTCCCTTCAGACATCTTGCATGCTACCGTGAGGGCTATTAGTTCGGCTTATTGTGCTGACTTAGCCGATGGAAGTGCAGATGGTTGGAGTATTTGGTCTTCTGTGGTGACTGCATATCCGGTATGATATTTTCCCTGTTCATCTGTACATCTAGAACCATCCACAGTGTGTAGTCAGGGTTGGATAGAGTAGTCTTGTGCACTGTTGGGAGATGGGTTGTTTCCATTTTCATCTTTTCAAAGCAATCATGAGGGGCATCTGGATCTTGTTCCGTAGGAGGGATGTCTTCACATATCTGTGTGATATCGAGGGTAACCGACTGTTGCAATTTATGGTTCTTTTGGTGACCCCTGTTAATGTGAGCTGTTCTTGGGTTGTAGTACTCCATGTTTTGGCCACTGGGCCAAGTTCTTTCCATGAGAGATATGGAGACTTTGTGAAGGAGATATGAGGAACAGCCACTTCCCAATGGTGATATAAATGCGAAACCTCCATAGGCAGGTAGACTAAGAGAACAATGTTTCCTTTGGAGTCACAAAACAGGTCGGTTAGTGTAATGCATATTTCTACCAGGCTGAATAGTTCTTCATAGTATGGGTCAGGACCTGGGGTGCTCTTGAACCACAGGGTGCAATGTAAGTAGTTCTTGGGCTGTTCATCATGTGGAACCATAGGCTTTTTCACTTGAAGGTCCATGTGAACATCAGGATTTATGGCCAGAGTGTACCAGTATTGTGGTACCCCCCCGGGAAGTGGCTGAAGAGTGGCCGGGTTCAAAGAGTAACATCTTTGTAGAGTAACGTTATCAGGGAAAAGGAGGGAGGTTTGGAGGCTATCTTCTTCATTTTT